TGGAGCCAGCATTTTACGATGAAACATACAAATTCAGTATTTCAAAAGAAAGCGAAGAAGGAAAAACTGAGTACGCTGAGTTTGCTGCTGTTACGAAGCGTGAATATGCTGAAGAATTAAGTGATGAAGAAGCCGTGAGCATGAAAGTGTCCACTGAAGAGAAGCAGCAAATTTTGTCTGAAGAGTACTGGAGTGCTTCTGGAGCAATTGAACAAGATCGTGATGCAATATCATACGTCGAAATGCAGGCGCCAGAAGACAAGGCTGTCTCAGAAGCAGATATAATCTTTGAAGTCGGAAAGCGAGATGTCACTGCAGCAGTTGCAGATCACGAGAAACAGATAATTGGCGGTGTTTCAGTAGACGAAACTGAATTGGAACAGCCAGTTGAGATTCATGAGGAGCTTCGCAAAGATGATGAACTGAGCGAACTGAAACCAGAACCAATGCCTTGCGAACACGCAGTTTTCGAGAAAGAATTCACCGTCCAAGCAGGACTGTACGATGAAACATACAAATTCAGTATTTCAAAAGAAAGCGAAGAGGATAAAACTGAAGACGCTGAGTTTGCTGCTTTTAAGAAGCGTGAATATGCTGAAGAATTGAGTGACGAAGAAGCCATACGCATGGAACTGTCTACTGACGAGAAGCAGCAGGTGTTGTCTGAGGAGTGTCGAGGTGTTTCTGATGCAACTGTAGAAGATCGTGCTATTTTCTCTCACGTTGGAGTGCCAGCAATAGAAGACATTGCTGTCTCGGAAGCAGATTTTGGTTTTGAAGTTGATTTGCGTTCGTTTAATCGCGCGGTCGATTTCAGTGGTTCGATGTTTGAAAATCATTCGGAAACTGCTGTTATTTTCCAACCTCGGGAAGGTGATGCTCGTATTTCAGGTATAAATTTTTATTTGAGTGTAGCGAATAATATTTCAAGCTGAAAATTGAATATTATGTGTCTTGTGACTGGTTGCAGGATGGGTTCAGATAATTGTGGTTTGGCACTTGAGATACTCACGCAGGTTAATAATCACTGCTGTTTTACTCTGTTGATTCTAGTCGGTGTGGTGCAAAGTGATGGGGATGAAAATATGTTGATGTCTGTGGATGTGGTGTTTTTTTTGTTTTTGTAGCTCTCTCGGATAAAGCGTTTTGCATAATTCTTCCAGATCAGGTGTTAATGGTGGTAGTTGCACATTTTGCTTTCTGATTCTCAGTATTATTTGGGTGGAGTTAACGTGTATGTCTTACTAAATTTCATTGATAATAATCCTAAGATTTTCATCATTTCCGTCGCTAAGCCTGATGATAGCAAACGCAATGATAAATAAGCAGTTTTAGATCTGAATCATTTTTGACGATTGAAAGAAGTACACTAATACTGGTGCCATTAAGATTTGCAAAGCAACCAACTTTCTTGAATTGAAATATCTTTGATTTGCTTTTTTAGCCCTGAATTCTCGCTATGCGGAAAGCTTCCACAGTGAGTCCGTGGAAGGAAAAGGACAAGAAATTGAGTCATTTAAATTAACAACAGTTGTTTCTCAGTACTGCATCAAGGAAAAAATTGTCGATGATCTCATGGAATGTGCAAGAATAGAAGAGAATGCGCATGATATTAATGACTTCATAAGCGGACAGGAGGGGAAAACAGTAATAGCAACTGAGTCTTATTTGGATTCAACATTCGAAAATTCGCTTGTGTTCTCAGAAGCTGAGCAAGAAACCGTATCATCTGAAATGGATGAGAATACTAAAATTGCTCTCGTCAATGGCACAAAAGCATTGTTAGGTAATGCAGACGATGTGTTCGAGAATGTTGTTCATGAATTTGCCGATGAAGAAAATGAGACATGTAGTGGTATAAATATTATTGGTAGAACAAACTTTTTGGATTCTTCATTTCCATCTTACACCCACTCATCATCACATTTCATAGAAAAAAGAGAAAGTGTTGGAAATGATCCATTTCACATCAGTGATGGGTCTGGAATGCATGGGGAATTAAACTTTGAAGAAGTATCAACAGTTTCTGTGCTAGAAAAGAATAAACCAAGAGCATATTTGGTGAAAGAGAGTATATCTGTGGACAGTAACGAACATGAGTTTTATGCACAGATTGCAAAGGTAGTTGATGACATTGTAAGGAAGATTGAAAACAGTTTGTCTTGTAGTGAGTCTAATTACAAAACTGCAACTGCTGTATCGAAAGATAGCTATGAGACTTGTTTAACATCTCAGGAGGATATCTTTGAATCAGCTCAGGGTTGTTATTCTCAGGAATCGGAATACACGACTGCAGCGAGCGAAGTTAGTAGTAGGCTGTCAGGAATAAGTGAGAATCGTCGAGGTAGTGAAACTCCAGTTATACTTCTCTCACCGATACAACATGATTGTCATTATATTGTCTCTAATGATGAAAAGCAAAAACTAGATAAAACAGTGGATTCAAAGCTTTCTTCTCCAAGTATGCCTGATATTGAATTTGTACTTGCTGAAGATGAAAATGATACCGAAAAAAAGGATGTTTCAGGGACATCTACTGATGGTATTCTTCTCTCTCCGAATATCGACATAGAACGCCCCATGTCTCCCATCCCTCCAAGTCTGAATAATGGTGAAAATTCTTTCATGATCCCTGTTACATCTGAAAACTTAAACAAATCTGTAGGACATAGTCGCCAGATGGAAATAAGAATTCTCGACTCCATCGTCGAAGCCCCTGTCGATGATATCCTAGTTGAAGATTCTTATTCATCTTGCAAGCAAGATGTATCTGGTGCACCAGTTTTCCAAGAAATGCTTCCTGGAAAAGTTATACATCTTGAAAAAGAGCGTTCTGCGCAATATTACAGTGAAAGTGAAATTGACACTACTTCTGACAGTTTTGTAAAAGAGGAAGCCATGAGAGATGTGTTGTCGACTGATAGAGTTGTACATATAGAGGGATCTGATTCGTCCGATTCTCTCGATAAAAAATCAGTTCAAAGTAGTAGTAGTAGTAGTTGTTGTAAACAACTTAGCATTTCACGTCAGAGCAGTTCTAGCTCTCGAAAAAGTCTATATGATGAGCCACAAGTATTTGTAGAACGACTTACACCGGAGTTAAAAATGATATGGGCAGAAAAGAATGTAGATGAAGGATCCACTAAACAGTTTTTATTCTCCCCATCAGAAGATTTTCCAACATTTGTTCCGGAAAACGAACAAATGAATTCAGTGGAAATAGAATTAGGTACAGTGGATGAGGAACCTGAAGAAGCAGATTCATTGAATGGTAGAAGCACATCTTCAAATGGTCAAGGAACGGATATCAATGTAATAGTTGGAAAATTCAAGACTGTGTCAAGCGATAATGTGTCTGAAACAAGTTTGCAAGAATTTGAACGAATTGAACGAGACGTACTCAATAAGGGAGAGTCAAGTCTTAGTGGAAGCGAATTAGAATTATACGTCGTCGGGAAATTGAAAACAGCTAATGGATCTACAAGTTCCTTAGCTGAATTTGAAAGACTGGAGCAGGAAGTTACTGTTGAGGGTTCTCCACAAGATGAAGTAATGATATTATCCGATATACGAGAAGAATCAGAAGTTGAAGAGATGAGTATAAGAGACGATGATGAGGAAGAGCATGATTCTATTTCTGATATAAAAGCGATACCAGTTGAAGATGATACCCAAATGCCAACACCAATGGCTTCACCAACTGATAGTATTGAGAGAGATTTCGACAAAATTATGCATGTAATGGAAACAAGCGCAGATTCTTTAGAATTAAGTCCTCCAGTAATCGTAACCGGAAAATATTTAGTTGACGAAAGTTTGTCAGAATATGAGGTAATTGAAAGAATTCGTGAAGGAATTTATGATTCTCTGGAAACGATTCCTCAAAACAAAGATTCTGTAGAGGAAGAAGGGACTACGATGCAAGAACTCACATGTTTTGATAGACAGGCGCTCACTGATGATGCACAAAACGTGTATCAAGTATGTCAAGAAGATAAAGATTCATTAACTGATGAGACGGATACTGTTTTTACTGATTATTCAACTACTCTGACAACATTTGAAACAACACAAATAAATGAGGATGGTTCCACCGAAGTCATTTCAAGAAGAGTTCTCACTCGTGTCACTGATCCAGTTATGAGCCATGTTCAGTTTACTGGGACCGAAAATGAGCATCGTTTACGTGATTTGGAACGTGAGCAAGAATTTGAAACAGTTGATATTGAGGGCAACGTTACACGAACGACTCTTCATCGTAGTGCTCCTTCATCCGCAGGTATTTTTTTGTTCATGTTTGTTATTTTAATAAACTTATAGTCATTACTATTCCTTGTCGTATCATAATATAATACTATTTCTGTAAAAAATATACAGTTTTAGTTCCACTTCCAGATATGTGCAATACTTCAATTCTGTAAATAATTGAAGCTATTAAGTTTCAATCATTGTGCCTAAATTTTGTAATCATCAGTGAAATTCTAATTTGAGCTGGAAAATTAGGCAGACTCATTTTAAATTGCTAATGAATCCTGCTTTAAACATACAATAAAAGCTGTAGTTTTTCAGATACCAACTAATAAGTCATATTTTATCAGAAAAAAACTGAATTTAATGAATTTTTTCTTCTCTGTGAGGGAGGACCATTATCTAGTGCTATTTTCATATCGAATAGAATGTCTGCATTAAATGTTCCAAAATTTAGATCCCGTTGCTGTTCATTCCCATGATTAGTTCATATTTTCATCTGAATATTGATGATATGCATCAATAATATCTATTTCATCTTCATTTTCATAACTTCGTGATTCTATCTTGAAAATTTTTCAATCAATTTTACAAGAATATAAATTGATGCAATAGCAGAAATTATTTCCAAATGATTCTGATTATATTTTTTAGGTTCCTCACATCTCTATTTTTCATCATTTCAAACGCCAAAAAGAGATTAAACAGCCTATGTGTTCTGAAAATAACATTTTTGTATTTTAAGTCAGTATTTAAGTCTTAGTTTATGGACATGAAAAGTTCTCAAATTATGTATTTGCCTTTAGAAAAAAAAATTCCAGTAATATATTCTTTTCATTATCTCTCACATTTCAAATTCATTAGCCTGTATTTAGGATTGTACTGAACTGTATTCATTGAATTGGTCATCTTTTAAAATGCTATGAAATTAACATATTTTCCATGCTAATTATGATAGCATTCATCGATCATCATAAAGTTAGTTCGAGTGTCAAAATTATAACTCTTAAGTGACAGTTATTCAAAAACAACGTGCTTTTTGTTTTAAATCGTTTATTTTCTTTTTCAGGAACTTCTTTTGCATCGCACTTGATTGATTAATTAGCAAGCGAAAAATGAGCAGATGGATTGTTGATGTTATTCTTTGCTTGCGCAGTGATGTCTATTTTGTTTTGTTTTGTTTTTAAATTTCTCTTCTATCAATGCTATTATTTGAACCTTTTGCTTTATTCTGTTATCTAATATATTTTCTTGCTGAACTGATATATCGCGTTATGATTGGGTTATTAATTGTAAAAGAAATGTATATACCATATTCAAAGATGACATTTCGAAGTTTCTTAGATGTGTATGTGAAATTTCGAGATTCCTTTCAAACAAATTAAAATGTATTAAGCAAGTTCTGTTGCTCTCATTGTTGATGAGATCTTCTAAATGTAATTTTATTACATGAAGATTAAAGGTCAGGATCTTTTGAGCGTTTACTGGATATTTTAATTTTGAATTATGCTCCACGCTATTTATTTTGTTACATATTTTGTTACACGTACATGAAATAAAACTACGGATTGTAATTGAAATCTTATCACTTAAAAAATTAAAATCTTTAATCGTATTTGGTGAAGATTATGTTTCAAACTATATAATTTGAATAAATTCTTGTCTTTTCACAAAAAATTTTGGCAGCATTATAAGAAGTTTCATGGATTGATGAAGCAATATATTATATCTCTAAATGTGTTTACACTTTCGTACATCCTTTAATTCTACTATATTTTTTTAATCCTGTATCTATCAATGTCGACTACACTACGCGGTCAGAAGATTTTGGTTTCATTTCATAGCAGCATTTATGACAGAGTTTGTTACAAAAGAGAACAATAAATATTACTGAAATCGTTATGACCCATAACACTGTGAATCTTGTGGCATACTTGGTGCTGTCGTATGAGAAATGTTCTTGTACTCTAAGATTGTACAGATCCTGTAGCCTTTGTGTGGGATAAATATAATGAAGATAAATGGGCGAGATTTTAACTGATTTAAAATATTTCAGATTATAGTGCATCTTTTCTATCCATGAGACCAAATAATTTTACTTGCTTGTGTGAAATGTGAAATGCTACCAAGTCTTTACTATTTTTGTCTCTAGTTTTAGAGATATATTTTTAGTAAAAAGTTGTCGAGATTCAAGAACAGTACTCATTTATTTTTAAATTAATGGCATTTATTTCGACCAAAACTAGACTAAAAAGTTGTTTATTTCTGATCACTGACATTAAACCGTGCATTGCGGAACAAAAGCCAAATGAAGAAAAGCCAAACAAACGCCAAATGAAGAAGTATGTAATACAAATCATAAATTCCAGATTTCTGTTCAGTTTGCAGAGTCCTCATTGACTACTTTTCCGTATATGTCATCAAACTGAAGTAGCGTTGTTGGTGTTGCTTTCTGGTCTTTATTTCGATGATATTTGGTATCGGATCGTCTAGGTGGACATGGACAGTACTGTAAATTAATAGCCAAATATTTTGTGAAATAATTTATAAAGTGTGCATTACTGAATTATTCAACTTAAAATGACCTCAGCATCTTTTCCAGGCCGTCCTTCTGAGCCATCTGATCCTATTGCACCTTGAAAACCAGGAAGACCAGGCTCTCCAATGTTTCCTGGAGACCCCGGTAAACCAGCTTTCCCAGTTTGTCCTTCAGTACCTTTATCACCTACTGGTCCTGCTGGTCCTGGTAATCCTGTTGCGCCTTTTGGACCAGGACGACCGACTGAATGATACATATCGGAACCCTTAGAGCCTGGATGACCCACTTCTCCATCTTTGCCTAAAATTAATCCATGTTTTTTCTTTTAAACTGAAGAAGTTAATCTAACTAAAGTCTTGTATTCAAAGAGACTTTGCCTCTCGCTGAGTATTTTTGAACAAAACAGAATCTTCATTTCTGCACCCAATGTCTATAAAATATAGCAACATCTACACCTGCAGGTCCAGATAGCCCAGGTTCTCCAGGAGATCCTGGTTGTCCATTCCTACCAGGAACTCCATTTCGACCTTTTGCTCCTACAATTCCTCTCAACCCAGGTTTTCCAACGGCTCCTGGAATCCCAGGCGGCCCACGAGGACAGAAGTAACAAGGTTCATCTCTGTGAAGCGATGAAATGTTTTCAGCATCCTTTCCAGGTTGCCCAGCTACTCCAGATAAGCCATTCAATCCAGCATGTCCTTTTAGTCCTGGTGGTCCTGGTGGTCCAGCTGGGCACGCATTCTCTTTAGCGCATTCTGCAATACTTTTAAATAATTATGCTAAGGAGCTCGATTGAAATATATATCTTACCACAAGTCAATGTTATGAAGTGCAAGAAAGTAGCGAAATTCCTTTGCTATCACTTTGCCTTTTGTTAATAGCATTAACAGAATATAGCTTAGATATTCTAACAATTTTGTGATAGCAAATATTAATTTGAGATTAGTTCATTTCAGCATTTTCTGTGTTCAAAGTATGGGTAAAATGATGGTTAATGCTGATAGAACAGATATTAGTTAAAATAAAAAATGAGAATTTTTATTTTGTAAAACTGCAGATTGCTCCGACTGATCAAAAATACTTATTCCAAAATGTTTTATAATGAATATCAGTCTGAGAAAAATATGATGGATTAAAATCAGTCAATTTGATATTGCCCAATCAAATATCACTAAAAACTTTCAACCTGTGCAAAAAAAATAAACTTACTACAAACATCGGTAAATTGTGGTTCGTCAAGTGGAAAACTTAATCCTTTGTGATCACCAATTACAATAGGAAACAGTGAATTCGTTAAGGGTTTGAAGAATTGATCTGTTTTAATTCTGTCAATAGTTACTTTCAAATTATTATGGTTTATGGAATTTTTGGGTACGTTTTGATTCGTTGGAGTAAAATGACCAGGAGGACCAAATGAGGGGACATTGTGTTGATTGCTAATTTTACTATCCAACGGTATATGAGCGCTATGAAAGGTTTCTGTAAAAATACTGATTACAAAAACATCAGCGTAAGATGCAATAACGATTGAAAGACTTTCATAATATCTTTTAAATGATTTACAATATTTTGTTTGCTTTAAGCATGGAAATTGACTTTTTATAGATTTGATTTGGTCATCCAAATGTTTGCTAATTGGAACTGGAATGCTTTCTTTGCTAAATTCATATCCAGTGCTAGTGCTATGTAAACCAGGTGATGAATATCCTAAAAAATTCGTGTGCATCAACCTTGATTACTTGCATATCATATTAATCTGGAGTGTTTTCGCATCTGATTAAAGATTTTGAAGTACAGGAAAAAAGAATGTGTATACAACAAATCGTCTCATAACATATATACATATACTTCAAGTTAATCGTTAAAGAATTTGGAGTTAAATTTCCACAAAGATTCATGATAATGACAGACTGTTAAGTTCATCGTGCTGCCCCTTCTATTAATATAATGTGTGTTTTATTGGCCTATAAATTTATGACAGGGATTTAAAAAAATTGATGTTTTGAATCACGTGCAATTACTAATGTAAGTACAGAATCATAGAATTAATTAAATCGACAAACTAGATTTGATAAATTTTTTCTATATTATTTTATTATTAATTGCTAATAAGTAGTCCATCAAACTTAAAAAAAAACAAAAATTAGTTATTTGCTTGCCATCTCACTGTACAAACTGTGATATCTTCTATTCATTATATCTTGCTACACTTTTCAATTGATAATAACTGCTTCGAATAAACTTTGTCGGGTCACTATGAAAAAATGTATATTAAGAAAATTTCTGTTTTAAATTAAGAAGAAAGAATCTATTTTTGCAGAACTGACTACCGTAACAAAATTGGCAAGCAAAATGAATTATAACAAAATATCCTGCGGATCCTTAATTCTACTTACAAGGATGAATACTTAATTTCCAGGAAAAATTGGATGAATAACGCATCTGATCTTACTTTCTGAAATTAATGAAAAAAGAAAATAAATTGGGCGTGAATAAAGGCTTGCTTTTTAGAATATTAATAATGATAAATAATTTAAAAATTGGTGATAATGGAACTTGCCCATAAAATTGTTATCTTCATTAGTGCTAATGATATCCTGCTTATACTGGTCCGTACTTTGCAAACTTTCGCCATATTGCCGTTTTGAGCGAAATTTTAAAGGATTACGACCGAGCAGGATCAAATCATTCCATAAACCGTTAGTGATTATCTTAAAAAAAATCTTGAAATTTAATATTTATAGTACCATAAAAGGCATTATCTGTTTTTTACTGCTAAAATTATTCAAAATAAAAGTTTATATACTTATTATCCAACAACATCGTCAGAAATGTAAGTAGTAACGCTTGTTTCATAAAAATTGAAAAGCGCACAATACCTTGAAATGTTGCATTTCGATGTCCAATTGTTTATATGCATCTTGAACATCTTTCTTGATGTGCACCATTACTAGGAGACATGCCAGTAACACAAAAGCGCTCAATGAAGCAGCAGTAAAGGTCACAAGTTGCACTCTGACCAGCATTCTTCTTAATTGTGCTGATTGCAGCAAAAAATAATTGGTGTCATTTTATATTTGAATTTTTTATTGGGCGGACTGACTTCTTCAGGTCAGCAATAGACAACGGCGATACATCTTCGTATCAGCCAACACTTTCATGATGATCTGTGACTAGTGGTTGATCGTTGTTCCATTTGTACATAATCAATGCATTGCTTCCCATCAATACTGCAACAAGGACAGTTTCAGCAACATCTAGCGAAAAGAATTTCACTTTATGAAAACAGTGAATTTCAACAGGAAATATCAATTTAATTGTACATATGAGATTCAATTTATTTCAGTTCAAAAGCTTTTAGTGGTTTTGGCTTTACTTACACTTCAGACATTAATCTTAGAATTAATTCAACATTTAATTTAATACATTATCTAAAAAAAGACAAAATCCCTTCCTGGTTGATAGCAATTATTAACAAAGGTGCGGTCAAAATAAAAGATTAACGAACCCATTATTAGTGTTTTGTTGCTTCTTTTCTAACATTTGTGTGATACTCTCAATGTAAAACGGAGAAATTTCTTGAAATTATATATATATA